AAAAAAAAAAAAGAAAAGCCATCAAGAAAAGATAGAGTGATCTGGATCCCTGGAGACTAGAAAGATATACCCATGGAAATAAAAGCTCCACTCTTGAAATGTAAGTCAGCAACTCCTTCACAACATGCGTGCCGCTGCATAAAAAAATAAAATAAAATAAAATTTGATAAGTGAATTAATGTAGTCTCTCTTAAGAAGCAAGAGCACTAACTGGAGATGATAAATATCTTTTTCTTGAAAAAGAAATGAAAACAGAGCATAACTACGGATATTTTAAAAGTAAGAGGGCGATAACAAGAGAGTGTCATAAACAATTATGTACCCAACATAATCTAGAAGGACAGAAATTTCCTAGAAACACAAATAACCAAAATGACTCAAAATGAAAAGAACAGCATGAAGAATGGCAACAAGTGAATACCCTGAATTTATAATCCAGACCTTCCAAGATAGATAGGTGCAGGACCAGGTGACTGTGCTGGTGAATTCTATCACAATTTTTCAAGAGAAATAAAAGCAATCATACTGGGGCTGGGAAGAAGGCTCGGTAGAATAAGTGCTTCCCTGGCAAGCGCAAGGGCCTGAGTTCAATCCCTGGTTCCACAAAAACAAACAAACAAACAAACAAAACAAAATGAAAAACAAACAAACAAAACAATCATACTGTATCTATTCCAAAATTATAACTGGAGCAAATACTTCTTAATACACTGTGGATACTGAAATAGTAAAGCAGCACAAAGACTCCAAAAGGTAAGATGTAAATTTCTTACAAATATAAAGTGAAAATATTAACATAATACTAGGAAACCAACTATAGTAGCACATAAAAGCATTAAACACCACAACTGATGTTACCAGATACTTGCTGGACACCAGTATCAAAATCCGTATCTGAGCAAATTCCTTTGAAGTTATTATTCCCAATAAGGCGCCTCCCTGCCGTGCACTTGCTCTTCCCACCAAGCATCTCTCCTACGCCACTGGGCCGTGTGCAATTTCCCACTCTGTCACTTACGGAAATCTTTCAAGGCCGATTTCCAGCTACAGGGATGCAGGAGGGTCATCTGGTAAGGCCAGTCTTCTGCTGCTCCCAAAGGTCGTGTGCAATTACGATGGTCATTTTTGTATTGTCACATGATACTTTGATATTCTGTATCTTGTTGGGGAATTCCTCTTCCCTTATCCTGTATATTCTGTTCTACTTTGCTAGATTTTTTTTTTTTTTTTTTTTTTTTTTAGGGAAGGGTCTATACAGCCTCCCAAGAGCTGGGATTATAGGCGCGTGTGTGCCATCATGCCCAGTCTCAATCGCCTTCTCAGTGTGCCCTGGAGGCAGGGTGGGCACGGCAGGCCCAGGGATAGAACCCCTGGCCCCTGCTCCTGCTTGCAGGTGCTTTAATCTGCTGAGCTACTTGGCCAGCCCCCTAGATTATTTTTATATGAAGAAAATGGTCCATGTATTGTAATTATACAAAAATTTAACTTTATATATTCCAGGACTGTTGGTGCATATTTTTCATATAATGAATATTCAAAGTGCTTTTGAAGCATTACTGACCTGATCATTTAAACATCTCTAGGAAATATTGTATCATTAAATGAACCACAAAATGCATAAATAATAAAATAACAGAGCATATGTTAACAATTTACCTTCTTCATTTCTATGAGAAAACAGTCAATAAGGTCCCGAGGATCGTTAACATCTAATGATTCTTCATGTTCTTTTATTTCCTTAACAAAATAACTCCTTAAAAAATTGGTATTTTCAATGATTATTTTATGACTCCCAGGAAGATAATCAATGAGAGCAGGGAAACTATTGTAGACCTACAGGAAAAAGACATTAATTTATGAAATAAGAAACTTATAGTGAGGACATATACAACATGTAGCCAACCTGATTAAAAAGTACAGCTATAAAGGTGAATTACAGGGCTGGAGAGATAACTCTACAGTCTAAGCACCTGCCTGGCACATGCAAGGACCTGGGTTTGATCCCTCGTACTACACACCAAGCCAGCCCCGGAGCCCTAGGTGTACCGTTCCAGCCACCAAAACTGGGCATGATGTCACAAGTCTGTAATCCCACTGCTGGGCAGGGTGAGTCAGGAGAATCACTATGAATTTGAGCTGTGTAGTGAGACCTTGTACCAAATAAAAATTTTCTTTTTAAATTGTGAATTAGACAGATATGCTGGTCATCCTGAGGGAGAAATGTCTATCATAAGTACATAGTACTTATCGATGTTGATAAAATGATGGGAGGATGTGTTCTGTTTAAGGATTAAGAAGATAAAGGTTTCTAAGGTACAAACAATGTATTTAGCAGAAAGGAATTTTTAATCAATTAATTCTATACCAATGACTTTGACTTTCAAACATAAAAGGCCCTGAATTCCTGCCATTCATATTTTATAGGTGACAGCAAAATTTAAATGAGTTTGTTTAATGTGATTTACAGCACTGAACTACCGCTGCAGGCTTTACTTCTTTCAACCAGATCAGGCATAGCTTAGCATGAGGCCTAAGGCCATTTGTACCCAAGAGGACCTAAGTGACTTTTCCCAACTCACGCTGCTATTACTTATGCAGAGTGCAGACCAACATGTCAATTCAACACAAAGTAGAACTGTGATGATTTTTCTGATTCATCTATCATTAAATCAATCATTTTGTCATACTTAAGAGTGTTTACTTGTCAAATAGTGGCTATATAAAGAATCCTTAATCCATTCAGTGATTCCTGGTAACTACTACTGTCCTAAATAGTTTTCCTATGTGAAGAGAACATTCTGTGCCTGAATTGAGAGAGTTCTGACAGGTTGTATAATCTCCAAGCACAGCTTTCTGGGTGGAAGTTTTCAAAAAGTACCATGATGTCCACTGAATGAGATTGTCATCCGTGGAACAGTGACCAAAGCACCTGAAAGCATCCGCTCTTCGTGATTTAATGGGAAAATCAAGATTAAAGGAGGGATCAAGCTTGAAAGCCAGCCCTATATCTTGGCATTCATTTTCCTGAGTGGATATCAAAGGACCCACGTACATTTCGCAGGGAACATTATAGAATGCTCTAGGCAGAGTAATAGTGTTTAAACAATCCCTTCACTGTAAGGTCCAAACAGAATTTCAGTTGCCAGAACGAAGACCCTGTGTTTCCTCAGAAAGAATGGATTTTGGCCTCACCTGCATCCATGGACTGCTTAGAAGCTTGACATTTTCATTGATCCTTCTTGCCAGGGCAAGAAAATCCTGATTATTATAGTCAAAACGATTGTGGAAGATAATGGAGCAGATCACATTGCAGGGCGCACATCCCAGAATGAAAGTGGGATCACAGGGTGAGCCTAAACAATTGGAGACACTGTTTAATCACTATGAAAATATAATTGCCTTTTGTCAATAGGTGAACGATTCTTAGACAGCTTATGAACTACCTCATCTCCCCATTCCCCAACAGAGAAGTACTCAGCACACTTCAAATTAATATATTAACTTTACCTTAACCCTGAGTTGGCCATTATATCTAACCAGTTCAACAGAGCTTGGTGTAGCTGTTTCATGTCCACTGCCTTTACTCACACAATTTAATCCACCTGGGTGTTATATAGCAAAGAAGTTGAAGACTTTTTAGAAACCTTCTTCAAGTGTTCAGAGGAGAATCAAATCTATTTGCAAAGACTAGAATACAGCCTTGAGCTAACAGTGCTAGAATAGCGTGGACTTGGAAACTTTATATGCATAATGAATATGTGAATGACTTATGTACTTAATTAGTAGAGAGAAATTAAGGAGAATGATTGTAAGTTCACATATCTGAAGAAACACATGCGAAAGTCAGCGTATATTTATTTATTATTTTATTTTTGGTGGAACCAGGGATTGAACTCAGACTCTTGCTCTTGCCAGGGAAGTGCTTATTCTACTGAGCCATCTCCCTGGCCCTAGTCAGAGTATATTCATGCCATATTAAAAAGGTAATATGAAAACAATAAATAAGATGAAGCTTTGTCTTTTCCAATAAATACAATGACAGCTCTTTATTTCAAATATAAATTGCTGAAAAAGCTAAGAAAAATATGAGTTTGATAAATGTCAAGCTTTTTCTCATTCCAATTTTAAAAACAAATTTTTCTTCTTTTCAAGTAATGTTCATTATATTTAAAGAATTGAAAAGTCAATTAATTTAGACAAAGTTGGTATTTTGAATTCTATAATATTATTGTACATTGCAATCCACAGCATACTGTATTCATAAATCTTGATCTTGTATATCATTTCAGTGAACTGTGTCATATTACAGATAAAGAAATTAAAAGTTCAGTTTCCTTGTGTGTGAGATTTCAAGAGAAAGACAGCTAAAATAAAATATCAACCTAATTTTTGTGGACTAGACTTACAAATTCACCTGGATAGACCCTAAAAGTATTCTGAATACGTATTAGAATGAGCCACAAGAAACCTGTTGAGTTAGCTGCTTGTGGATTCACTGCTAGCTGATCCTAAGCATTGCTGGGCCCCAGCCTTTAGGAAATGATTTATTTGAGTCAAGGATATGGGGGTAACTTCAGAAGCCCTGGGGATCATGTTTTTGTGCATGTGTGTCATTCTCATATAAAATCTGATTTTTCACCTTTTCTTTCATTACATTGGAGAAACAAAACTTTAACACAAGCTCATTTAAAAGTATAAGATGAAAATTCATCCTCCAAAAACTTCACAGATTCCTGTCAAAATATGTACAAAGAAATCTTCATAAAATTACTAACTATAGGGCTCAGCAGAATAAGCACTTGCCTGGCAAATGCAAGGTCCTGAGTACAATCCCTGGTATTGCCAAAAAAAATTACTAACCATAGTTAAAATATAGCTTCATAAATCATTTTATTAAATTTCTCTTTATGTGTTTTTGCAGACTTATGTTACATCATTTTTCTCAACTCACATAAAGTAACACACTATTACATAAGAAGAAATAATTAAGGATGAGTTACTGAGTTGAGATGGAC